GACTATTTCTCATTTCAACTGTGCCAACCTTTGCTTCGTACATTTCTGAAGGAGTGAGTTTTTCTTATATACAGTTTTACTGGCTGTGTCCTCTTCATAATTATCACTTTGGGCATCACATACTCCCTTTTGGGGCCTTTTAACCATTTTTTTTGACTTAAATCCTAGTTATCTAATATCATAATAGCAACCTCTACTCTCTTTTACTTGTTATTTTGTACAAATCCCCCCCCACACACACACACCAAATCTTTACTTTCTACCTATTTGTGTTCTTAGACCTCAAGTGTCTCTGTAGGCAGTAAATAGTTGGGCCATATAGAAGACAGTAAACAGTTTAATACATTCTGCCACTCTGTGTTTGACTGGGGTGCTGTATTTAAACTAGGAACTAACAAAAATAATTTGGTGTTGGGATGGTTTCCAGTGTCTTACAAATGCTCTCTTTGTTCTCATTTTCTCTGTTGTCATTCCCTTTTCCATTGACGTGATCTCTTGTAACAAAATGTTTGGGTTATCTTTCCATCTCCTCTGTGCATGTTCATAGAGCCTTAACTACTATGAAATTCGTGTTTTGTCCTAAAGTTTTCAGAATCCATTTCAAAATAATGACTTCACTTGCATGCACAACAGTAATGGAAAGCACTGCCTATAATTGAAAAAGTGGGTGCTCTCAACAGAGACAGAAGAAAGTATATGTGAGCATTGTTCATCCTGTGCAGCAATTGTTTATGCATGAACTCATGAAGAAACAAAATCGAGCTAGCTCTGCTGTTGTCTTAGATTGAAAGGTTTATGGACATAGTGTGGGTAGTTGAGTGGGAGGCATGGCATTTCTAGGTGGAGGGTGTGAGCTGAAACAGGCTCAGTCTGACTCCACTGTGTCTTTGGGAAATACAGAGCCTATTTAGTCTTCTATGAAGGGTTCCCCGAAGTGAGTGAGGCGGAGGCTCTTAGATAACAGATAGATGAACTGATTCAGAAACAAGTTTGGAACCAAAAGGTATATAAAAATTTCAAGAGAGACTATGCTTGCTAAAAGAGTTATTGTCCATTTCCTAGCAGAGTTGACAACTTGACTAAGGGAAAAGAACACAGACGAAAGCAAATTCCAGTTGTGTTGAAACTGGACACATTCTGAAGAAGTCATTCAGCAGAGGAATTGGGGCTGGAGAGATGGCTCAGTGGTTAAACACGCTAGCTGTTGGGGAGGATCTGGGTCCGATTCCTAGAACCTACATGGTGGCTCACAACCATTTGTAACTCCAGTTTCATGGCATCTGATGGTTTTTTCTCTTCTCCATGGGCACAGGACATGCACACGGTGTACATCTTAAAATAGGTCATACATAAGAAAAATCTTTTTGTTTTTTAAGTATAAAGGAGATACCATAGTATAAAACATAGAAGGGCAGGTCAACTCTGCCATTGTGTGTGGAAACACCACAGAGTACATAAAACAATGTACTTATAGTTATCAGAGCAAAGAACCATGGGGCCCTGAAAAGCAAAATAAGTCATCTGCTCTTTTCTAACAAGCTCAGGAAACACAGGTGTCAGCCATCTTGTTTTTGGGAAGGTTGTACATGTGCTTTACCATAAAAAGATGGGATAATACTTCAAAGAGTAAAGCTTCACAATTTAAAGTCCTGTTAATAACAAAGCGTCCTGCCAGCCGTCCTGAACCAGTTTGCTATGAAAACGAAAATGTTAAGTCGGTATTTTCCCATCAGTATCAACTTGGAGCCACTTGGCCAGGGAAATCCGTGGCTTTTGAATGCTACTACTATTGCCTGGCTGGTCATACTTACAAGGCTCGCCATTGACACAGACCCTGACCTAGATGTGATGCACTCACTACTACTGATGCAGTGGCATCCATCAAAGCTGCAATGGATGGAGTACAGCAAGGGACTGTGAATGCCTCAGGGATAAAAGGAGTTAAGTCATGAATGAATTCATGGTTTTCCTGGGGATTGACAGGAAGTGAGAAAAACCACTAATAGCCAGTAGAGTTGGTGAAGGACTTGCAGATGTGGACAGGCACATCAGAGGCCACCAAGAAAGAATTTTTAATAATAATAAATGGGTAGAACCCATGGATTCATCCACAGAGGAAGAAGAAATTCATGTAGACACAGCAGCATGGACATAGTCCTGTTTTCCAAAGCATTTCCCATTGACCAGACAGAGAAGGGCAAAGTGGAGGAGGGCTATCCTCTCTAGACTACAAATTCAAACTTGCCCAGACAAAGATTAAAGGGTGATAACAGTCAGAACATCTGATGAGCTAAAGAGAGAAAACAGCCGTCAGTCTGAGGTTTCCAAAAGGATTTTGATAGACACCTATGAACTGGGGCCTTGGATCATTGACACTGTCATTTATAGATATCTAGCCGCCAACATTGTCCCAGCTTCATCATGGATCAATATGAACAACAATAAAAAGATTTTCTTCTCATGCCTCCTGGCTATGACCTTTCCTAGAATGGCAGCACAGTCCATTCACCTCAGGCCGTCTGGTTACATTGTACCAAGTAACCTATCTCTGTGCTGCAACTGTATACCAGGTATTAGATATTTAAAGAGAGAGGGGGCCACAAAACTTGGTCATGTTGTATTCTGTCATCAGATACAGCTAATATTCTACTGTGTCTAACATAAAATTCATCATAAATGTGTTAGCCATGGAAAACAGTACATTTAGGGTCCAGGATGAGTTTAAATCATTAGTGGCAGACTTGAGATGTATCCTCCACATATAAGGAAGGGACACTGTGGCTTATAATTGGTAAGTAAGCTTGCAATTAAGTAAGGGCAGTGACCTGATCAGCTTTGGTGTTTCAGAGCCTATTACTGTGCTGACAACATTTAGCATCGACCATAAGTGCTAGACAAGAGTAAAGGCGGCTCCCGAAGCCGGTGCCCGTGGTAGGCTGAGGTAGGAAGACTGTAAATTTAAGACCAGAAGACTCCATCCAAGATCCCAAAGGCTGGGTTTGTTCCTCCATGGTTGGGTGCTGGCCTAGCTTGTGTAAAGCCCTGGTTGTGATGCCCAACACTGAAAGCAGAGTGGATGAATGAAGCAATCAGACAACACTGACTCCTGGGGTAGCTGAGGGATGCTGGCTAGCGTGGCAGTAATGACAGAAGAAGAAATAAGACAAGGTTGAGATTAGGAGGGGGTGCCTTACTTAGGTGGCAGAGGCAGGTGCTTGCATTAAGGGCATTTTGAGGAGCTGCAGGACTACTACATCATTTGCTTCCCTGTTTCCCTCCATCTTTTCCTTTCTCCCTTCCCTTCCATATGCAAGGCTAGCCTCATGCTCCCTAAGTAGCCTGGGTAACCTCTGCCTCTGCCCCCAGAGTGCTGAGGTTACGGTGAGCTACTTCACTTAGTTATTTTACTTAAAGATTATACAAGGCATTGTGATGCATTGCTATGTGATACAAATAGTGAAACTTAGAGGCGATGTCCACACCTCTATCCGTCTGCCACTGGCCCAGCCCTGTGGTTCCCTTGGAGGGAACTGCTGCTATACCCTTTTGTTTTATTCTTTCCATGTCTACTCCACTATCAAGTTTTAGATACAGATTTTGCATATTTGGTAGTCTCTACCTGATTTTTTTTCTAATACAACCAATACAGAGAGGTGTTTCTAAGTTAGACATAGTGGATCCCTTGATACTTTTGAGTGGTGCATAGTATTCCAAAGTACATACAGAGCCTACTTCTGTGTCTCCTTTGATGGGTGTTTAGTTTCGTTTCCCCAAGTCTCCTTTCTAGTAAACAAGGCTGCAAAGGAAGTGCTTTTACATAGATCCTTCTAAGTTACCTCTCTTCTCCCTGAGGGTGGTCGCTAGAAAGTGGACTTCGTGCTTCCTGGGATCACAGCTCTTTCGGTCCCTCCACTCAGCTGCTGTAGTTCTGTGTAACACAGGAATGCCCTTGGCCCATGCTCTCATCAACTCTCAGTTGGATCTAAGTTATTTTCTCCTTTATAAGCATCATATTATGGCGTTCATTTACCATTGTCTAATTCTGGGTGGAATTGTGCAGCTTCATTGCCTTCTGTGATTTTTACCATCCTCTCTTGCTAGTCTTCTCTGCTGTGTTTTTTTTATTATGAATTTGTAGGAGTTAAACATATTTTATACCCTAATAATTCCTTTGATTTCTACCACCAATACCTTCCTCAACCTCTTGTCTGTCTTTCCTTCATGATGTGTTATCATCTTTCATGGGTTCACATTTGCTGAGTGTGTCAATCCTTCTCTTAATGGATGATGCCTATGGGGTTTCAGAAAACTTCTGTTGCTTTTGCTTTCCCCAGGCATGGTGATTGGATGTCCTGCCGTTTGTAATTTGTAAAGTTTGATCTGAAGTGTCAGTGGGAAATTCATGCAACATAAGCTCAAGGACAGATGGATATTTCAGAATGGAGCTGAATTCAAACCCTTCACTGGAGACACAAAGCGAGGTTCCCAGAGTGGAGGAGGTGTTTGCAAGCAGATGTCTCAGAGCACCCAAAGAGGATGCAATGTCAATGGGACTCTACTGAATGGCAGCAATTTTGACAGAGTTGAGTTAGTTGCAGGCACACTGGGACAAATATGGATGCTCTGTCCCAATTTGGGTGCTCATCAGTTCGATGAGCATCTGGTATGTTAATTCCTAGAGGAGAGATAGAGTTCTTGAAGGAAAGTAGAAACCCTCACTGCCAAGCCTCACTGAAAGTGAAAAATGGGAAGAGTGAGTAGGGATAACAAGAGTGAAATCCAGTGTAGCCAAGGAAAAAGCTGGGGCCAGAGAGAATCAAAAGTAGTTAAGTGGCAGGGTTGGAGTGGTTTGTCTCTGAGCAGGCGCACAGCAAGCCCATAGGTCAGCTGAGAGAGAGCAGGTGCCCAGCAGGTCACCTCTAAGTAATGGTAGTCTTGATTGACAGCTCCAGTGGCAATCACTTGACAAGCCATGCTAACAAAACCCAAACACTCACACATTGCAGACAAAGTAAAATTTATTAAGACAGACAGAACTGCGCCTACTCGGGACTACAGGTAAGCATTTGCTATTAACCAAAGAGTTGTGTTCACATTCCAGAAAAGTCTACATGGAAAAGCATTCAAAGTACTGGGTTTTCTGCATCACTGTTTCACCTACAGTAGGGACGACAAACTGACACTCTGGATTTGATGGGCTTTTGTTACAAGGCTACACACTGAACAGGGACAAACGTCAGCGACTGAGAAAAGGCATAAAAAGACCAAAACCACCCATGGTAGAAAGGACTCCTCGATGTACTGTACAGTTGGTCAAGGTAAAACCAAAGCAAACCCAACACCCATGGCATTGTGGGACGGGCAGACCTGGACAGACAAGTCATCATTTCTGGTATAGGTAGTCATGTGGGCATAATGGAGGAACCGAGAGGAAGCCAAATCCCCATTCTAAGAATAGCTGTGGAAAGCCAACACATTAATGTGGCAGACAGTAAACCATGATGAGAGAGAATTCCGGGGTTTAACTCGGATACCACAGTAGTAGTATTAAATAACTGTTTGTAGAATTAGAGCAATGGTATCAACTGAAGGTTTTTTTTTAAAATTAAGTCAGTAAGTACCCGCCAAAGCAGGGGTTAGTCATCACAATAGCATTCGCCTCAAAAGCATCGTATGATGCTCGCAATTATTATTGGAATCAAAGGCTCCCTCCAAACAGGACAAGGGAAGTTCTATGTCTCAGGAGAAGGTAACACAAAGTCTCATTTTAAGTACTGTTGTAAATAGCTGTTTTTAAAACCCAAGGTGGGGCATAAGAAATGGTGTTGCTTTGCTGACGTGGGCTCCAGACGTAGGAGGGCTTTTGATTTAATATTTTAATGAATCAAAACATCTTCTTGGGACCTCTCTGGAAATGATATCTCATTACCTTCCTGGGAATTGCCTATTGAGCACTCTTCTCCACCATCAAGATAATGTTAAGGAGCTCTAAGTGTCATCTTAATGTGACACTTGTCATATGATAATTAGACAAAATAAGTGGTTCGTTGGGTTCCTAGAAGTTTCTTGAAGAGAAATCAATTTGCCGATTGTTAACTTGTCCTCTTGTGCATTTTTTTCCAAGCTCAAAGGAAATAATAACAATGGTTTATGCTGGCGGCCTAAACTGAGCTTCCTAATGTGTCTTTTTAACGTACTCTATTACCATTTAGCGGTGACTGAGCACCTGTTTTCTAAATTATGATCAGTTTTGAGAGAGAAAAATCAAAACCATGGGACTTGGAAGGGTGTCATTGAGATCTCAGAACTGAGAAAGTCTGTGTCTCCACAGAAAGGGAGATGCTCAGCATCCTGCAGAACTTGTGTCTACCAGGCCAAGGGAGCAAATGACTGTTCATTTCCATGCGAGAACACTTGGGCCAGTGTAACCTTGTCCACCTGTTCAAGGAGGGGAATGGTAACTGAAGAAGGCCAGTTTGGGGTCAGACTCGTTTGACCAAATACTCTTCTTGCCTGAGTTAATGGACCTCTTGTGGACTGGCTAAAACTCATTTGGGGGAGGTAAGGACAACAAAGAGGTTGTGCTGGCAGGCTATGACTGGTTAGGGCAAAACAGAAATGGTTTCTGATGAGTCCTTGCTGCTTAGGGCAAATGGCTAGGTAGGAAGCAAGCAGGCAGAGCTTGGGGAACTGGCCCTGACCTGAATGGGGCTGCACTGAGGTCTACTCTTTGGTACTTGTGTGAAAGAAATCTGGAATAATATAGAGATATTATTGGAAGTAGATGCCAATAATGAGCTTAGGGAATAAACAGAGGTAAAACTGCTTTCATGGTGCCCCAGCACACACGGACATGTGTCAGAGGGGAGGTTGCTGGCTCCTTGACTAGCTTCTTGTGCCACCACGATCACTTTCTAGGCCTCCATTGGGGTTTCTATTCAATAATGGGGTGAGAAAGAGAACCCTTTAGAGCCTTTATCCCCTGGTCATGATTTGTGGATGGAAAGGGTGTGGGGGGGAGGGAACATGAAGAATCCTAATTTGTTTTCCTAAGGACTATCATGACGCTGTCTTCTTGGAGAGCAAGAACCCGGGAGGCATGCCTTAGGAAAAGCCCTTGCGGGTGGGGACGGGAGCTGCCATGGGTGGATACGCTGCATCCTGAGGGGAGCTTTGAGCTAAAATGAAGAAATGGCTTGTGAAGCTGCCCAAGGGGGAGTGCATGGCTTCTGTGGGGGAAGTGGGGGGGCAGTTTAGGCAATCAGAGGCTTATGGAAATCAAAACGGCCTCCAGTCTCTCCACAACTGCATAGAGGAGCCTCCCCAGCCTGCAGGCTATGCGTGCCATGGGCATCAGTGCAAGGGGACCCCAGGAGGAATTTCACATCCCAGTCCATGTCCGTGTCTGGAGAAGTTGACTAAAAGCCAAAGTTTCTCTCAAGTGTTTTCCGTCTACAACCAGACACTTGGCTGAGAGGTGTGCGTGCAAGTCAAGCGAGTTTGTGGGTGTGTAAGGGGAAGCATCAAGATCTTAATTTTTAAGAACGAAAATGAATTCTCCAAAGGGACTTCAACTGAATTAAGGCTGTCATTTGTAGGAAGCCAGATACAGGGACATTGAAAATTAATTGTCAGTAATAAACTCCAGAGGTGGTGGAGACAGGAGGAAAAGGAACGGCGTGGTGTGTTTTCCACAACATCTACAGGACACAAGGAAAGCACTTAGACAACATAAGGCTGGGAACCATGCTGTAATAACCACCAATGTGGGTAATCAGAGAGGGGCTTTGACGCTCGAGAGGGTGGGACTCCCCGCACTGGTGGATTCCACGGATTCCACGCCAATCACATGCTAGTTGCAAAAACCTTACAGGAAGGAAGGAGGCTTAGCCAGCCATTCCCCCCTCAGATGAAAACAAAAACAAACAAAAGAACAACATCCTTTCTCCCACACAACTGTATGCAGATTCAGAACGCTCTGGGAAGGGGTCTCCCAAACCTTAACCCTGGTACAGAGAGCAACAGCGGAGAAGAGACCTGTGGGCCTCGGAGTCTTAGATACAAATGCAGGCAAAGGAAGCGACTTGCAAATCTGTGCCAAAAGTGTGTCCTCTTCCTCATGGGCACTACCATATGTACCCAACCTCATCTTCTTTGTCATCATCCTCGTCTTCGTCATCTTCCCTCACGGCCCGGGTGTGCACCCTTAGCTTCCCCTCTTGGTCCTTTGGCCCCAGCTCTTGCTCATCCTCCACATCATCCAGCAGGACCACGGAGCCACCGCTGCCGAAGTCCCCGGAGGTTTCCTGCTCCTCTTCTAGCACAGGAAGGAAAGACCTCAGGTTAGCTCCTACTGTCCCTCAAAGACCCATGCCGGTTCCCTACACTTGTGACAAGTTGTAGGATAAAAACCAGGGTATTTATGTCTGCAGTGTGGGAGCCCAGCTCCAGTCTCTAGGACTTGGCCCTGTGGACCCTTCTGATGGAAACCTGTCCTGGTTAATGTCTTGTCTTCTTGACACATTTGGGAAGAAAAACCTCAGCTGAGAAAATGCCTCCATCATGTTCCCTGTGGTCAATCGCTGGGACATTTCCTAGATCAGTGATTGATGGGAGAGGCCCAGTCCGCTGTGGGTGGGGCCATCCCTGGGCTGTGTAAGGAAGTGTAGGTAGCAAGAAGGAAAGTATCATTCCTCCGTGGCTTCTGTTCCAGTCTCTGCCTCGACCTCCCAATGCACCCTTTGCTCCCCAAGTTACTTTTGAATCTGGTCTCTCACAGCAAGAGAAAGTAAACTAGAACAGAGTACCTGGTACTTCAGCCTGCCAGCAGAGCTGCAATCCTAAGGGCTGTACCAGTAACAGTTCCCTGGCTCAAAACCTCTATCTACCCAGTGGTATTGCTGCATATCTGCTGCTAGCAAAACCAGCTTTGCTAGAGGCCATGGGATTCCAGCATTCACTACAGCTAGAGCTCAGTCTAGAGATTCTGCTGTGATTCCCTACACCGCCAGGACCCCTGGGTCAGCCGCGGGCTGGCCCAGGCCTTACTCACCGCAGCTCACAGTGCCCTGTTTCCTGGAGCCAGCCAGCTCGTTCCCATATTTATCCACACACCAGCACTGGCCTGTGCTGCTGTGACACTGCGTGGCTTTGTAGTAGCCCTCCTCATTACACCGAGGTATGAATGCCCCTGTGGGAACAAAAGGGCCAACTTAAGTCAGAGAAAAAGCATAGAGGCTTGGGGTTAATGCCAGTTAAGACAGGGTTGCTCTGGTGTAAGCTGAAGAACAGCTGTAGGGCTGGCAGGAAGAACGGGGCTGGTTGATTACTATTTTGTAAACATTATTGGGACCTCAGCCTTGAAAAGGTGGCACACATTGGACTCCAGGAAGCTCATTCCCCAGTTAGACTTGATAATAGCTAAGAACATTGAATCGTTACACAAATCCTGGGCATTGACCTAAGCCATGTACGTTATACATGAAACACGTTCACATAATCTATTTCCTTTGAATAAATAGAGAACGAGGGATTTTGACGAGTTTCATGTTTTCGCTCAAGTCTGCCTGTGGTAAAACTTCAGAGTCTGATCATTAAGCTTTATCAACTTGATTGGATTTACTTTAGTAAATCAGGGCATGGCCTCTAATCAATGGGTTAATCCCTGTAAGGATTCATAATAGACTGGCATTATTGGAAGTACAGCAGTGTAGACAAAGATGCGGACAATCAAGGGGACATGGGATGGCGAGGCAGCCGCTCTCTCCAAAATCTGACCGAAGCCTCAGGACAGTTGAGAGTAAAGAACCCCACCACAATTAACATTTTCTATCCAGATTGCCCACAGAGCGACGGTACTCCTTCTGTATGTGTCGAAATTTTCAAATATGGATTTTAAAATAAAATCTATCCGTGCTCAGGGCCTGAGCCCATGCCACGCCTCTTTCAGATGTTCTCTGAGGTCCTCCCTTGACGGGGGTTCTGAGTTTCTCAAGTGCTGCTTGTGGCGTCGGGTTTTACCTCATCAGCTGGAATCCTTCTGGCACCTCAGGAGCCACACTGGGATATCAGTTAGATTCCTAGCAACCCTTTGAAGACGCAACTTCAGAACCCACCAAAACTGTAACTTGGACTGCTGTAAAGACAGCTAAGTGCCACCCTCCTTGGGGAAGCCCCCTCCCCCCCAGTGCCTCTCTTTCAGTGGAGTCCTGCTTAAATCTGCATTTAAAATAACTTTTTCATAAGTCTCAGCTTTGTTTCATACTGGCTAGCCCCAGGCATCCCTTCTGTGGTGAGATCATGAGTCTGGCATTACCTGAGTGGGAGTCCCTAAAGCAAAAAATTCACTGGGCTGTGTCTGTGTGCTTCTTCCAACGTGAGTGGGTGAAAAGTAAGAGGCAGGATCTAGTTAGAGAAACTGTCACTTGGGGCATGTAAGCTTCCTGTATTTTCATGATGCAAACTTCCCTGCCAGGATGGGCTGACACCCTCAAAACTGTGAGCCCCAATGTGCATTTTACCCTTTAAGCAGCTCTCTGGTTCTCTGTCTCAGTGATGAGATATTAAACACACTGTTTCTTTAAATTATTTTGCAACTGTTTCAGTTTGGCCCATAGACCAGCAACATAGTGTAGAACCCCTTTAGAAATGACTATTTTTCTAGTTCTGAGTCAAGTTGATCTTGATTTTAAAAGTATTTATTTGTGTTTATCATGCGTGCACGTCTGCATGTGTATTTCTGAACTATGTGCATGCGGTTCTCCTACAGGCCAGGAGGAGGCATCAGAGCCCCCGGAACTGCAGTTATAGACAGTTGTGAGCTACCATGTGGGTGCTGGAAACTGAATCTGGGTCTTCTGCAAGAGCAGCAAGTGCTCTTAACCTTGGAGTCGTCTCTTCAGCTCCCCTTGCCCCCAAAGACAAATTTGAGGTCCTGAAATGCCTTCCGTCTGTACTGGGATTGTTCACTATTAACTTATACTTACTGTCGAGCGTTCTCTTTCTCATTATAGTTTGTTGAAAGAATCCAACCCTTTCTGAAGCGCTATTGTTGGCAGTCCTTATCACTGGTTTATTCCTTAATCATTTCTGGGTACTGTATATTGGAGTTTTCTAGTTCCGCTCATTATCTTAGATAATGTGTTTGAAGTTTATGCGTGCTTTTATGGGCTTCACTTTGTTTCTGTGGAGGTTGGTGTTAGCCCCGTTATATTTTCATTCAGTTTAAAATACTCTCTAGATTTTAATTTAATTCCTTGACATCTTGTTTTTTTTTTTTCTCACTGTCTGGGCTAGTGAGTTTGAGATGTGATGGTTAAAAATGTGTTTTGTCTGTGGGGCTGCCCATGACAGGTGTTTCATGCAAATCATCATGATTGCATGTGTAAATATGAATGTGAATCACATTGTTCAATTATTCTATATCCAATTTGTGTCTACTTGAACTGCGTTGTTTGTGAAAGCCTATTTAGTCCTAAAGTAATGAGTACACCGGCAGCCCATGACATGTGTTGCTTTTTTAGAAGGTGAAGTATTTGCTTTCCCAGATGTTATCATGTTATACAAAGGAGCATTTTCCACCTTCAATTTTCTGTGCAACTGTTATAGGTGTGACTTTGGAAATGTGTCAGTCTGTCCTGTGTGCACCGACTGTGATTATGGACTGCTCTGTTGTATTTCTGACATCACGCCTGTGCCTAGTGTTTGCCATGGTGCCTGTCCCCTGCCTCCTATGAAAAGCATTGCTCTTTAGTTCTGATATTGAGGATTCCCTGACATTTTGTACAGAGTGGCATAATCTTTCCAAATGAGATCTAAACTTAGTCTGTATTTTCTTTCTTCCTTGGCAAATCAGAAATGTAGCACATTTAAGTATCCATGCGTTTGTTGTCCTCAGCAGTTTATCCTAGCTTGCCATCAAAATGTTTCAGTGGTCTTGGTTTTGAAATAGGCTCTCACCGTGTAGTCTTGGCCAGCCTGGAACTTATGGAACGGGCTGACCTTGAACCCAGAGATCTTGCTGTCTCTGTCCCTAAAGTGCTGGCAATCAAAATGTTCTCTAAGCTGTTGTTTGTTTAGATTTAGTATTATGCTATTTCTTTTGCAAAATTTCATATGGAATGTACGTGTGTGTATACATTATCTTAGTTTGAGAATCTGATCATCATCTTGAATATATTGGAATGAATTTAAAGTTCTAGGTTCAAAGTTATCTCCACTTGAGATACTATTTTATTTTTCTTTCTAAACTAGTGCTACCCATGGAAATATAATGTCAATCTTACTCTCTTTAAAGGTAGGTACTCTCTATTCATGATTATGAGTTCATCTTCTCTGGGGAATTCTCAGGGTGACCCAAGGGGCTATATCCTTACATCATGGAGGAAAGGCCTCTGGTTACCACTGTGGCTTCTACTGAGTTTATTTCTGTTGTCTTTGTGGCACAGTTGCATTATAAAACTTAACTGTTATTTCACAGAATGATACCCTCCTCAAATGTAGCATCGGCGTGTCAGGTTTTCTCGCAGCCAGTACATTGGGATATAGATGTTTTTCTTTAGATTTATTCATTTTGTGTGTGTGAATGTTTTGACCTGCATGTGTGCCAGCACATTGCATGCACGTCTGCTGCCCGCGGAGGCCAGGAGAGGGTGTTGGATCCCCTGGGACTGGAGTTACAGGTGGTTGTGAGCACTGTGAGGTATTCCAAATCAAACCTAGGTCTTCCTCATGAGCAGTGAGAGTCATCTTTCCAGGCCCCCAGAGCTAACCCTGAGCACGGTGCTCGCCAGGCTATTTCCAGGACACCCCATTCCAGAGAGCAAGTGAGAGAGAGAATGGCAAGTGTCCGCCACTGCTGTCAGCGCTTCGGAAAGCTGCTGGGTGCCCAGGGCCTCACCGTTCTCCCGCAAGTGCACAGGACCCTTAGATTTCAGGGCGCAGAGAGGGGAAAGAGGATTGGACCATTCTCAACCCCGCACTCGATGAAAGGGCAGGAGCTCTGAGAAAGAGGGTCGGTTGAGGACTGACAAGGAAGAGAACAAGCAGAGAGTGTGGGAGAGGCTGGTCCCCACCCCACCCACCCCCGCCAGCAGAGGTTAGAAACCACAGCACCTAATAGACCACGGAATAATTTAAAATAGGGCTGAGCCTTCAGGTTGGCGAGAAGCAGGTGTTGTACTTAATCTATAATTTAATAAGATCACTGCTTTTTCTAAGTAGGTAGTAATTATAACTGATTATAATTTGTTGTTGCTTGTTTTGTTTATTTATTTGAATCTGAATATCCCTGAACACATGGTTGTTATATTAGATATGAGATTTTTCTCCATGCAGAAAAATAATTTGTAAGCAATATGGGTGGCATTTGTATGGATCAGTCTGCATGAACTCAGAGTGTGGGAGGCTTGAGATAAGACACAAATTGGGTAGTTGTTGGATCAAGTACATTCAGGAGCAAGAAAATGAGACATGTCAGGTGGCATATATGTATACATATGTGGCATATATGTATACATATGTGTGTCATTAATTTATGATAAAAATCACCATTGCCATAGAGCTTTAAAAATATTGCAATTGCATAAACTCCATGTAGACTGTGGGTATATCCCCCAACATAATATGTAGAAGAATACAATTAGCCACCAGAAGTCCTTGAGTTAGATAAAACCTCTGGAGGAGATATCCAGACACTGTGCCTTCAGCCAGAAAGATGTCTTTTACCCTGACAAGTCAAGACTGCAAGAGTTCAGAGGCATGAGGCAAGCTGTGGGAAGGAGTTAAGACGAAGAGGGGGTGTGTGCCCTATGAGGTGACCCAGAATTCCCGAAGAAGAGTAGCCGGCATTCACAGAAAGCTTGCGCTTGGCGGGTCCTTAGGAGCAATGTGCCCATCCCTCAAAGTAAATAGATTAACTTCTGAAATGGTGGGCTGCTTAGGGAGTATACATTCCTCCGGATGCTTGATGAGAATATTTCTGAATTGCTACGGCTGTCTGGTCTTTTTAACAGTGAGGGAGAGCAGGTTCCCTTCTGGTCAAATGTGATTTGCCAGTGTGCGAATAATGACTACCCCAGCCCCCTCCCCATCCTGGAGCTAAGAGGTAAGAAGTCCAAGAGGGAGCCAGTGCTCCTGCAACTAACTGACCTACTTCTGCCTTAAACCCCAAGGAGAAAGCAGCAGTCTCCAAACGGGTGGGAGACTTCCATCCAGAGAGGCACACGCCCTTTGACCCTATCTGATACATTCTCGCAGGGTCACAACTTGCTTTGTCCCTTAAAGGGACAACTAGCCCTGGGGAAGAGAAGAAACAGCCTAATATAAAAGCCTTTCGTCTTGAGAGCTGGGGAAACGTTCATGAACTCCATTCCATGGCTCTCTGTGATAGGAGGTAGATACCCCAGAGTTAGTGTAGCCAGTATCAGAGAGGGAGTCCCAAAGAGCAGACTCTGAGCCTGACCCAGCTGCCAGGTGGCCCTGGCCTGACCTCTGGCTTCATCCTCTGTGTGCCAGCTGCGTGCAAGAGCTCAGGCTGGGGTGGGGGCAGGGAAATGAGGCACTTCTTCCACAAGACACTGTCCCTAATTGAATAAACACTGCAGAGCTGAATGTTACAAGAGATGTGGATGGTTTAATTAGTTGTTCTAATGAGTGGCAAGGAATTGTACTTACCCAACAGGCTTTTCCCCTTGCTCAGCTTCTGAATTCTGTTCATTTCATTCTGGCAAGGGAGACCTAGAAAATAATTTATGACAGTCGGTTTCCAGATGGTACAGAGTATAATCTCTAATGATTGACTGCAACCCCGATGTGGAAATGTTGGCAACAACACACCTGGGTGTGGAATTGCTCCATATGCTGTTGACTGCAACAAAACTAATCCAAAACTAATCCAAGCCATTAGTGTTACTAATTTTAAGGAAAGCTCCACATCACAAGGCATTTAAAGATAGCATGTGGAGGCTACTTATATAATATAGGACACTTCCTACCTACACCCAGTGGCGCAATGCCAGGTGGTTGGCTGGAGGACCCGTACATCTTCTCAGCTAAGTCCTCTGGAGCTAAAAACTGATGGTAAGGCTTATAAGAGGGCAAGAACCCTGGATATACAGAGCAACTAGCCAGGGGTCATAATGCTTGACCTACTGGAGCTCCTGTCTCATGGGAGAGAGGTTAGGAGCCCTCGGACAGGCCTGCATGGACACGGTGGCCATGCAGAAAGGCAATGAGCTAGCAAAGCCATCCAGAGCCAGACTTCAATCACGGTTTCTTTCTGCCTCCTGAACACTTAGGACACCAAACATCCCTCCACTCCATTCAGCCTCTGAGTCCTCTGGAGGAAAGTGCTGTGCACAGGGAGCCACACGGCTGAGTGTGTGGACGACGGGGCATAGGCCTGTGCGGTCTCCCTAGAGAAGAATTTACCACCAGGCAAAGAGACAAATGACCTCACTGGTATTTTATGGTTTGCCCATGACTTGCCTTTGTCAGTCTTGTGTGTTTGGCAGGAATTCTGCACCTCTGCATTCTGTACCGTCTCTCTCTACAGCACCCACTCCTGTCTGTTACTATAAGGATTTTACACCACCGGGCATCACTGCTGCCAGGTGAGAAAGAGTGGGTTCCAAGATGCGTGTTTCTTACTTCACTCAGGGCAAAGAGAGAGACTGAGACAAATCCCACCCTGAGAACGAAGGGTCGTACTTACCGGGATGAATAGCTAACGTTTATTGAAGTGTTAGAATGTTCTACAGCTTTTTAAAATCTTCACAACCACCATACAAGATAGATACTTATTATCACTATTTTGTAAGTGGAAATTATCATCCATGGTATACAGAAGGATGATCAGACTGATAGAAAAGAGAGCAATGTTCTAGTTTTACCAGGCTTCTTAAGTTTTCCGGCAGTAGTTTTAAAAACAACTTGCTTAAAGAAAGAAAAAAAAAATAATAAACTGATAGAAATCTACTTAAATGCAGCCAAGAACAAGACATACACACAGATTATTATTATTTCCATTTTTGAAATGAAAAATCCGTCCTGGAACTGATTTGCTGCTGAGCAGATGAAAGCATGCAGTGGAAGGTTCGCTAAGTCAGCGGCGCTAATGAAAAAGCAGACTGTGGGAGAGCAGGGTCAGGACACAGATGTGCAGGCTCAGGGATGAATGTGACACAGGAAGAAAGAAACAGAAAATTAGAGAGAGGAAGGAAGTTCGCCTCCGAAGCCGGGAAATTCGGATGAAACATCTCGGTTGAGGCTGAGAAAGACTAAACTTAAATGAAGAAAAGTTTCCCGGAAACGAGGAGGAGTCTAATTGTAGAGCTCTCGGCCATGCCACATACACTGAGCAGAGCTAAGGAGGCTTCTAGGAAATTCAAACGGATTCCTGCACAGTTCCTTTTCTGATGCTTTGGCCATGGTACTTCATCGGGGTGACTTAGAAAGAAAGGGTTATTCTGACTTAAAGTCCAGGAGGCTGGGGTCCACTGGGCTCCGGAAGGCCTAACACGTGGATAGGAGCAAGAAGACGGTTGACGGCATCGGAGGCCGAGAGAGGCGATGGGCGGGGAGAAGCCCCACCCCCCACCCTGTTCAGATTCCTCAAACTCCCTTTGCAGCATTACCAACTGGGACCAGGGTTCAAACTCATGTCTACAGGGAACATAATCCCCCCAGCTTATAGACCCAGTGGTTAAATCACCCATGAAACAAACAAAAACTACACTGGCATCATGTTTCCAAGAATAAAGCAGGGATATTAGTCAAACATTTCTACTAATTATCTTCCAGAAAGTTTTTTTTTTTTCTCAAAAATTTTCTTGGAAAACTAAAACATCTATAAAACATGGAGAATACCACAGGAAAACCTCATGTTTTTTCTTAGGTCCTTGGTCAGAGGTCATGGGAACCTTAACCGTAAAGTTACCAGACATCAATGTGAGGCATCTACAGCTCTGCTCTGGGGGAAAACAGGGAGCCCTGGGAGGGCTTTTAACATTGGCCTTTACATTCTAAGCATGATACCCCATCACCTTTAAGTCTCTTCATGGAATGATGCAGTACGTCAAACGATGAGCTATAACACGGAGGTAAAATAGAAATGAGAGAGAAGCATTCAAAATGAAAGATAATTCTTTTCTCACAACCAGTCCTGGATGCTCTGCTGTTCCAAGGCACAGCACAAATGGGGTCCTGACTGCCGCCCCACCCCCACCCCCTGCAAGCCAAAGGGGAGCCTGGCCAGGGATGGCCCTGTGGTCAGGCACCTAGCTCAGTACCTTGGCTACAGCAGTGGGTAGGTCAGGCTCTGTGCCACAAGCATGTTAGACCAAAGTAAAACAACTGCTATTATTTATCTCCAGCCTGTGTTAGCTAATATAGTTACAGAGCAGAAAGAGATGAGGTAGGAAGGGGAAGTGGAGCAATTCTATTTTAATATTTAAAGAAAAATTCATCACTGTTTGCATACAACACAGTTCGCACCTGGAGACACCGAGAGAGTCTGCCAGAGCCACCGGAGACAGGGAATTTAGAGATGGAGAAGATGGGAAACAGTGGTGGCTATAGCAAAACTGAACACTCTACCAGCTGTGAGACACCTTAGTTATCATACAACAGAAGTTTTTTTAATAAATCGGGCAACTGCATTGTAAAGTTCAGGAGGTAAGGAAAGCATGACTATCCAGAGTGAGAGAGGAGAGACCTCCAATGGACGATCAACTGTGATTGAAACTCTTTTATTAAACTGTGAATAGAATGGGATAGAACTCACTTACGGATATCTAGGAAAGTGGGCCTCAGTGTTCAGGAATTAATCTAAGGCACATGCATATATATATATATCAGACATGCTAAGGCACATGCATATATATCAGACATGCTACCGACAGAAGAGAGATTAGTCAACAAATGACAAAGGCAGCCAGTGAGGCCGTTATCTCCAAGCTTGGAGTAGAAGCTGAGGCCTCCTCGGCTGTGTGCATATATTGAGGAGTAATGCAGAATTGGAACAAACACAAAACCACCGAAGTTAGTAAAAGCATGAGAAAGTTGCTTTACTGGAACCAAGTGAAAACTACCCTTCAAAGTGTAATGCAAGCGTTGTGACTTGTAAAAAGACATATGGTATGAAAATAAGATGCAACTATGTCAAAATTTAAAATTTTCCTCAGGAGAAAAACGCACAAAGTCAAAGCTAGAAAAAAAAATAAAAATAAAAAAACCCCTATAATACCTAAGTCGAAGACCATAGATATACATTTTCCTGCAGAAGTAAAAACACAATTCCAATAAGAAATTTACAAAGAATATAAAATTATTTCAGATTATTTCAGGGAGACAGACACTTAAGAATGTCCCAGTTACTCAGTTTTATTCAGAGGGAAATGTGACATCATTTTTGCCCCACTCTGGTAATATTGGCTAGGTCTGATAGTGCCATGAAAAAACAGTACTCTGTTATTTTTGAGAGACAAAAAAAAAAAAAAAAATCTAACGCCTTCTCTGGAAGGCGGATTGGCAACTGTGCTGGAAAGTGCATGCTCTGCCCCTGGGGATCCACCTGATAACCCCATGAATGTGCACATGAAATTATTCTTCACTGAAAGCTCTTTGGAGTGTCTACATTTTTGATGTGTGTCCTGGCATCTTTGTGCACATGCATAAATATTGCACAATTTAAATACTATTAGTGGAGAGCCAGCCAGACTTCTGGTCCACTGGGTACACCCCCAGGAGGCAGAGACAGAAGTAAAGTCAGACAGGAAAGGCGGCCATGGGAAGCAGAGCTCTGTCCCTGGATGGAATGCTGCAGCAGGCAGGCTCACCTGCCTGACTTCTATTGACAGGAGACACCTGATATCCCTTCCTATATTCCTTAGATATGGTGTAATTTTGTTATAAGCAAAATATTACCATTAAGGAGAATTCATGTGACTGACGATACTCTTACATTTATATAGTATGTTTCACATTGAGACTCTCTTGGTAACCTTGTGAAGGTTTCTGCATACCCATTTTATAGATGAAAATGCCAAGCGCTAAGTAAGGACATTTCTGCAAAGCAAGGTATTACTCCATGAGGAGACAACACCATTCTACTCTTTGCTTCCTGAAGTGCCATGTTAAAAGCAGACAGGTGCCTTTGGGCTTGCCGTTCCCCAGGGTGACTGATGGCCGCACCTTCCTGCGCATGGATCCCTGGTGCCCTCTGCCCAGGGCGGCTGCAGCGCCTTGGGTCCCACCTTACTTACCTCCTGGCTTCTGGAAGCAATAGCACCACTCATTGTTGGAGAGTTTGCCGTCCTTGAAGGAGTCGCAGGAGTTGAAAAGAGGCTTGATGCAGGGCTCATACTTGTCTAGGTAGATGGCGTTGATCTCCGAGTGGTCCAGCAAGAGGTCATAGTTCATGTCCAACTTGTTGAACATCCAGCCCAGGGAGTCCTTGCAAATGGGCAGGATGCTGGTGTCAAACCCTGTGAGAGGAAGGAGTACCTCAGCCTTCCAGGCGGGAGCACACCCTGATGCTCCCTAACCTGGTGCCCCAGAGGGGCTAGGGTGCATCTCTCCGGGTGCCTCCCCCAGGCTCTTCCCTTTATATATGAGACATGTGCTTCTCCTAAAAGCAGGAGCCAACTTTGGGGGAAACATCTTCAAAAGAGAAACCACTCCCTATGATAATGTATCTGTGTTATAAAGAGTCCCATTGTCTATAAGGCTGCTTGCAAGACGTGTCTGGAACGAAAACTACAAACACATTAAAACATCAAACGTATAATAGTGAAACCTGAGCTTCTCCTTTTAGGATAAAAAAAAAAAATGAAGACTCAGAACACTGGAGAAAGAGTAGGTGTTGGGAGGGGGCAGCCAACAGAGGCTCCATCTGCCCCAGTCTGAGGCTGGAGGGCAAAACACCCCAAGGCCTGCCTCTGTTCCCTCCCTTCTTTTCTGCAATCCCCCCAGGAACCGCAGGAGATGGAATCCAAATCAACTCAGACAATCATTTCTTTCTTATTTCCCCAGGGAAGGGGAAGCTGTTTTTCTTAAAGGAATCTTTGTTTCCACATGAACACTGTAAACGCTGGAGTGCTTGCTTACACTCAGCTCCACACTCTGGAAGCCACAGCACTGTGGACGGACAGCCAAGGGATGGCAAAACCCCACCTTATTCTGGGCACTGAGTCTGTAGGAGTGGCTTTATTTTCCTAGGGTAGCACAGATAAAAATGATTCTAAGCACTGTACACATCATTATCTTGCAAAATTCAAGTAGCAGTCTTGTGAAATGCCGTCATCTCTACCTTATAGATGAATAGCAAGACCGTATGATTTCAGAATTAGGCAGCCCAGTCCAGATCTGGAGTCCCCACACCATCTCTCCCAGGCTCCCTCTGCCTTCTTTGACACATCTGTCCTGAAAGCATCCAGCTGGCTTAAGGTGCCGTGTATGAGATACAGTGCCTGCAGCCTAGGGTCAGGATGAGACAGACTGCCCACTCTACATTGTAGACTGTTATTGTTAGATGTGCTAACATTTGTTCAATGATGCAAAGATGTGTTGCATTCTTTTATGCTGCATTAGTTTAACTCTATGAAGCTGTGTTACTTTCCCTGTGTAAAACACCTGATTGGTCTAAGAAAGAGCTGAATGGCCAATAGCTAGGCAGGAGAAAGGACAGGCAGAGAGAATAAATAGGAGGAGAGAAGAAGAGAGGAGAGCAGGAGGCACCCACCCAGCTACACAGCCAGCCATGGAGTAAGGAGGAAAGAAAGGTATGTAGAATGAAGATAAAAGCCTAGAGGCAAAAGGTATATGCGATGATTTAAGAAACGCTGGCTGGAAATGAGCTAAGGCTGGGTGTTTCTTACCCTGCTTGTACACCTTAGCAGGCCTTTGTTTAGTGGAACTCGAAGATGAAGCAACATGTTCATGACAGATCTGTCCAGAAATCTACACAAGGGCTGCAGCAACCTCCTGTGAGCCTCCATTTAAACATTCCCCGGCACTTTCTAGCAGTAACAATACTTGTTTTCCAGCTATAGGGGTTTTCTAGCCAGCTTTAAGTGTCCCCTTTCACATAAATTTTTACATAATTACATTTATTCATTTTGCTACCAAAGGATAACATCCTTTAATTTTTTTTCCCCCAGATGGGAGTATGACATGGCCTCTTCTTGAGTGACTTTCCTGATTTGTCAACCAGAAGAAATGCCAAGGTGTGTGGCTTAGTGCAAAGGTCAAGTCTGCCCCACCTATTGCCACTCTCAGAAAAGGGCACCTGCACCCGGCTTCTGCAGCCGCCAGTGACAGAGAACGGGGCTTGATCAAGGCTCCGGGGTGGCCCCTCCAGGATGTGTGGGCTGACAAAGGTGCTGCTCTTTCTCTGGTCTCACAGGACCAAAGCATCCTTCCTCTGCTCTCCTCTCCCACCCTGTGGCTTCAGGACATCAAACCTACCGTGGCTTGGGGGACTCAGTGTATTCCTGGGTATACAAGCTCCCACCTGTCGACAGAAAGGCTCTGAGGACCTACTGGAGGCTTCAAGGAGGTTTCTTTCTTATAGCCTGCTTTCTATGGAGAAGCTATTCTGAAAGCCTGGGGCTGGGCTGCTGTTGGGGGACTCACAGACAAGCTTTTCTAGATGAAAATTAGTGTATACAAACTCCCAGGGAACAAAACAAAATACCTCTCTCACCTGATCATCCTATAGACATAGCTACCAAGAGACCCCCCCACCCCCACCCTGTAAAGGGCATTCTGAGAAGCAATCTCGCCACTGAGGCAGCAGCATGGAGTTGTTACACCAAGCAACCCTTCTATCAGTACTCTTCATTGATTTCCCGGGTATCGGAGAACTAACAAAAGCTACGGTCATTGCCTTTGTTCTTTGAGACACCGTCTAACCATGTGGCTCATGTCAGTCTACTTCCTGTCTTTAAATGATGCCCCTTCTTCAGCTGCCCTAAAATATGGGAAAGCATGTGAACCACCACACTGGGCTGGAGAGCGATCGGAGACTGGTCCAGCTGGGTGGCAGAGTTGACACTGATGTCTGACCTCCTGGCTGGGAACAGACTTTGAGCAGGCCATCTCTGATGCTCACACACAGCCAGGGTAGCTGTGTTTGAAGGATCATGTGGCTGGGAGATCTCTATTGTAGCAGTTAGCAAAACTACCTTGTAATGCAAGGCATGGAGAGACAGAGTGTGTGTGGCCTCTGCTCATCCGGAGTTCTAGGGGCTCCTTCAGGAGCTTGAGGGTTGAGGAGAAGTGGGAGGGGCACCTGCTTTGGTCTCTGGGGAAAGTTGAACACAGCTGCCCACTATACACAAACACCACATTACCTAAGCTGCTTGCTACATACACGGTTGCCTGTATTAGCATAAACCCAAATGTCCCAATTAAAGACCCCTTACGTTGTTACAGCCAGGGTTAGGATCCTATTTGGCTCCTGCAAGACACCACTCAATAACCTGAAAGCCTAATGATATTTCTAGATGTTTGAATTTCCAGATGGTATATCAGTCTATAAAGCGTGCAGACTTTTCAACACACATGCATTTCCATGTTCAACAAGGAAAATTACTTCAGTGTAATACTGTGGCATTCAACACACATGCATTTCCATGTTCAACAAGGAAAATTACTTCAATGTAATACTGTGGCATGCATAAGTTGTTAATAGGTAGGTAATACTGGGTGTATGTATTTAGATATACATGTACACACAATTTTTTTCTATGTAATATTTCCTAAAATATCTATAAAGCATGGTCTCGTTGAAATCACATTTTTTTTTTCTAAAATATCGCCCCTCTTTAATAGAGTGAAGTAGCAAGAACAGAGTGGTCTTACTGCCTTGGGCTGTGTCAGAGCTGGTCGGCTTGATGACTCTGTTGGCATCCTCGTGGAGAGCCCCGAACCAGTCCTTCAGCCGGGAAGCGAGGCTCCTCAGCTCCTTGTCTGTGCAGGCTGCAAGGAAACGCACAGCAGAGGGTAAGCACCGTGCTTTCCACCCTCGGTGTGCAAGGTCATTGGCCAGGCTGCCTTCAAGGCAATCCTCCTTGCCCGGACACTCTGAAGCCCCATCCCCAAGGAGTGCTACTGTCACAAGTCAGACGTGGGACAAGGGAAGAGCTGGATCCCCAGGACAGATGGGCTGCCTGAGACCAGGCAAGCTGCCTGTACCTCACATTTGTGCAGCATCCTCCACGTCTGACTGACAGCCCTTTCACCAAGCACGTAGAACCTGTTATTGCAGTTTTGCTAGAGAACATGACACCTTCCAGTGTGCTCACACTAGAAGACTAGCCAGCTCATGCTTCTAGGGAGAAAATGCCTGGGGCACCAATGATATCCCAGGAGCAGCAGGTTCCCCATTTTGTACTTGGACAAGGCGGACTTGTGAATTTGGCCTTGGTTTTTGCCTTCCATGTACTCATTGCAACTCCCCACTACTGACAGGCAAATGTGTTCACCACGGAAGATCAGCCCTTTCTGCCTCAGCCCTTTTAGGGTGTGAGAGAGTCGGCAGGGGGCATGGGTGGCAGAGGGTGGAATCTATTTGAGGGTGTGTAGACCCGAGAGGGCAAGTCTGAAAGAAGGGAAGGACGGGGAGCAGGGAAGGGAAGGACGGGGAGCTGGGAGGGGACTCCGTGGTGCTCTCTGCCCTTCCTTTCAGGGCCCACCTTCATTCTGAGGGACAGAGCGCTGGCTAGGGATGCAGACAGTGGGATGCCACCACTGGAGAAGCGGCGGCTTTGTATCTGTCAGCTATTAGAGAAACGTTTACCAACCACAAGGCTGAAAGGGAACTAGGAACGGAGCACACCCCTGTTCAGTGTGGAACTGAATCTGGTCGTCTCCCAGTGCTGAGAGGACACAGCTGGTGGCTCAGACCTGCTGAAGTTCCAAACTCTCCCTGGAATCCTCAGAGAGCAATGATGGAGACACAAAGTGTCATTCCGACCCCACTCCAGGCTCCAGGAAGCACAATGCTTCCTGCTGGATGTGCTGATAGGGAGGATGCAGGAGAAAGTACTGAGCAGGCGCTTCTCCTGTTTTACTGTTCGTGGCTACTCTTCAGCCAGGGGATGGTGCAGCAGCCAGCTTTGAAGACCTCCCTGGATAAAGCACAGGCCCAGGCTGCCTCTGCACAACCTGCTGTTTCTCATCCCTACCTTCGCTTCATCTAGGATGCAGGCTTCAGTGTGTGCATTGCATCCAGCACATGTATCCAGCTATTGATACCAAGTTACTAAGTACCCAGTGACCAGAGAAGCTGCTTTGCCTTTAGCACACAGAGCTGACTGCAGACACAGCTAGGAAGTGGAGGAGACTACCTTGTTGGTAGGAGAAGGAGACTACCTTGTTGGTAGGAGAAGGTCACATTGTGAGGTCACTCTGTCTAGAGTGAATCTCAGCTTTATCGCCCACCACAGGCCTATCCCTAAATTTCCTGGGACCTCAGTTCCCTTATCTGTAAACCCAGGATACTAAGGTCGTGACAAACCTGACACTATGTTTCAAGCTCTTAACAAATTATATGATCTTTTGGAGACTGTGCCAGATAGGGTTTTAGTTCTTTTCCATAATTATTATTTAAAATAGAATATTGAGAGGTAGGCTTAGAGCAAGTGAGTGTTGTACATTTCAGAAAAAAAAAAGTCAAATGCAAAAAAAAAAAAAAAAACTGGCTTTGGCTACCTATAAAGATACATGCAAATGGGTACATGTGTAACCCTACATAAGTGAATTAATACCAGATAAATTTACAAACTGATTCCTCAGGTACATGTCTCATCTCAAGCTATTCCTTCTCCACTGGCAGAACCCTTGCGCCCAGGCCAGCATTGGACCTAGATCTCACCACCACAGCAGGCTGCCACACTGGATAGAACTGGGTGAAGGCAGTTTTTACTCTCTGACTTATATCTTTGCGGAGGCTCCTGTGATCACTAGCTGCCCAAATGCATGTCCCCTCTCCTTCACCCCTTTGGCCTTTAAAGATGGATGAAGAAGGAAAATAGCAAGCTCCCACAAGCCACTTGCTAACCTGTGCTCACAAACAGCAAGAGAAGCAATTGCTGCTGAAGGCAAAGGTTCTTGCTTTTGCCCAGGTACCAAGTCTGATCCCAGGAACACACTCACACTCACCCACACATCGGCCCCAACTCAGAGTCTCTTGGGGACCAAACCTGTGCCTTTCTGACCTGCTCAGCTCTAACAAGTAGTGTGATTATCCAAAAACAGGATATGGACTCTCCAGTCAATCTCACATTTGGAAATTGAAAATTAATAGCACTCATTTTCCCTCTATCTCTAGTACACCATCAATTTACAATGTACTCTGAGCAGAGAAAATTGCCAAGTCAACTTGTAATGAAATCACACACACTCCCCGAAAGATAAATTAGTCAGCCATGTTTAACTAAACCTTGAGACATGCAGGTAACCTGTACATTCACAAGCCTGCTGGATTTCCCCAGGCATCCCAGAGCTCGGAGGCTGGGGCCGGCTGAAGGGATCAGGCAGTGCAATCTTGAACGAGTGAATGTGTCACTCAACAGCAAGTCCAGGAGCTGGGAGCCATGGCATGGCTGGAGGGAGATCACAGAACAGAAACAGATAGAAGACACCCAATTACTGGGCTCGGTTCACTCACGGTATCTTCCCCTGAGTGGTCTTTGTGAGGAGAAAGCCAAGCACTGCCTGTCTGGAGCATGATACATTCCAGAGGAAATAATAAAGGAGACGGCCTGCAGAGAGCTATTTGTTCAGATTTGGCCCTGTAGCCACAGCACAGGCTGGCTGCCTCTTAAGGTGTCTGTCACTCCCAGGATGGTGGGACTAACAGGAAGTCACAGTCTAGGAACTGGGAAGCCAGAGAATGTTTCCCAGGGAAAAATAACATTTTCCAGAATGGAACTGAGAAGAACCAGACCCGCCTGCTGGTCCTGTACTCTGCCAGGAAGAGGGACAATTCTTGTCACAGTGTAGTCCTGCTCCGCCCCCACGCTCTCCTGGGGGCCTCTGGAATACCAGGGCCCTTGTCTGTGTCTCTGCACTATGCCCCGGCACGTGAGCACCACGGGTCAACCATATTTGGTTCTGTTCCCTGTGTCTACCGGGGTTTCTGTTGCTCTCCTCCTCTAAGAAGTCTCTGCTCAAGAGTCCTCTGCTGCAACCCGATTTTCCTGTCACATCACTACATCTTTCTTAGTCACCCCTCCCCTCCACCGATGCCACGTCCGGGAGGCAGGAAGTGGCACCTTCAGATGTTTGCCCTCAGAGCAGACACTGGAAGTTGCCCTGGATTTCTCCATGTCCCTCACCTTCCCACTCAGTTGGCTACAAAATGTTTGTTACTCCCACTGCCCACAACACGGCTGCTCCCCGCTGGGTTAGCCACAGAAGGCTCCTAATTAGTGTCCCCTGCTGACTCCCTACAACCTCCCAATCCAGCAGCCGCGGTGAAGTGGACATTGGGTCCAGCCACTGCTGATGCTCCTGGTTGCTCTGTTGCTGAGTCTGTGGTTTCAATGGCCTGTGGGATCAACCCCTGGTCTTCCTGCCCTGGCCTTGATGCGCCTGCCACCCTTTACCTCAGTGTCTCTATCCCCATTGCCCCTCAGCTTTAAGGTTATTTCTTTCCCAAGCTCTTCCAGCCGGGTGCCATCTCCCCCTTGATCTTAAGAGCATAAAGTAGAACTGTTAGCCCCCCAGCATGGAATGCAGCCCGTTACCTGCTTGAAGGATGCTCTCGTTATGCAGCTATTGATGGACTCATAACCCTCTCGCTGCCTTTTGTAAACTGTGGTTTTTCCATCTGTGAAATGGCCAAATGAAGCTTAACTCCTGGCATCATTGCATGGGATAAGATATCAGTAAAGCATAGCTCACAGCTACTGGCGTGTAGCACGGACTCACATCCCAACTGTCTGCATGATCTGTTACGATTTTACTGTCATGCTTTATTTTTTTTAAGCCAGGGAGATGCTGATGACATAAATAATGACATCTCCCCTCATTTATTTTATAGTTATGCCGATGGAAGGCTAAGAGACGGGGGTTTCAGCGTCTGCCTGCCTTCTCCTGTTGGGTAAGCCGGGCGATGGGTGGTGTGACTTCCCTGCACCCAGCCTTGTTGTAGGTGCTATGTAGCAATTGTTTAAAATGTATTCATGGAAAGAAACACACACACACGAATGATTGACTGAGCACAAAGTCGAGAGTCAACTGCTACACTAAGAGGTAGGATTGGGGTCTGGAGCGAGGCTGCTGTGGTGCCCGTTCCAGTCTATGCTGGAGGGGTGGGGGACGGGACACAGCCTCCTTGGATAAACCGACTAATGAATGCAATTAACAAACCTGGTCAGGCCTTCCCCTGTAATGGAAGCCCCTCCAGTGACCCAGCTGGCCCAGCAGCTCAGGATGGAGGGGGCAGAGAGTGAGGCTCTTGCCTTCATTAGCTTTGGCGTGAGAACAATGGCCATCCCGGAGGGCTGCAGAGCAGCCTGCCTCCTGTCACATGTGCAGCCACTGGGGTTTCATTAGGGAAAAGAACGGTACCACTGCACATTATTCTGCAACGTGCAGAAAGACAGCTTCCTCCCGCAGGAAACCGTAGCACTCGGCAGGGACGGGCCCAGGTAGAGTGCCAGTCTCCCAGTGGGCTTGTGTCTGTTTGAGAAACATGACCAGACTGCAATGAGCAGAGGTGGCTCCGAGGAAGCTCAGCAGCCCAGGGAGCCAATGTGGCTCCTTCCATGGGGCTCTCACGGGGGTGGGGGAGGATGTGCTGGAACTGAAGGCTTTCGACGGAAAGTCCAGCACGTGACTTAGACGGCAGATGGGTGTGCCATGGCCGAAACTGGAGAGTCACTGCAGCTTAGGGCACCAAGGAGGAAGAGAGGGGCTGCTCCATCAGGGTTACCTTGTGGGAAAGTTAGGCAAGCAACTACCAGGAAGAG